TTACCTCTCAAACTACCTAAACTAGTTATAAATATGTTTATCTTTACTGTCGAGTCATCATAACTGGATCAGCTGCTGCATGAGACAGACACTGACGCTGTCAGAAGAGAGGAAAAAGAGACAGGCTCCGTGTATTTTATTATTATATATCATTATATAGAGTCGTTATTCATTTGTTTTAAAGCTCAATAAATAACAAAGAAGACCTTTGACCGGCACTTTTATAATTTTGTACGGAAGATTTAAACTTTAAGCTTTTTGGCGATTGCGTTTGCGTTAATCCTATGCGTTTTGCCTTATGCGTTCACCGCGCACACGAGTAAACGTGCAGCGCTTTCTGGCTCCGTAATCACACCAATGCACGTGCAACTTAAGTATCAGGTTCCGACTGGTCACAACAATAATTAAATATCACTCTTAATACAATAGATAATTAACATTATCTCTTTTGGGGTGCACATTTAGCTGTTTGCTGTCCTTATTTCTTTATGTTAAAAACTGGTTGCCACTGATTGCAACCAAAGTCCAAGAAGTGGTTGACATTTTTTCTGAAGGGTTGCCGTTACTGTCGAGCCCTGTCCCGTCATGTGTTGTCCGCCGGATACGCCAGGAGTTTCCTGATCTGGCTGGACGAAATCAAATGCAAATCACAAAATATTAGAGAAACTTAGTTGTTTTAGGTTTGTTAGCTTGCCAGCTAGATTAATATGCTAACCTACGTTTGCTAGTTGTTCAGTGTAATATGCCAACCTACTATGAACAACAGCTAGTGGCACTTCATATTAGGCTAGCAAGAACATGTTTACAATTGCAATCTTATACGGGTAGTCTGCTACGTTCGGTCATTCATTGTAGCTGGCATAAAAACAATGTTTTCCCTAGCATGTCTAGCTCTTGGTAGCCTTCTTGTTTAGCTCGGTAGCATACACGCTAGGAACTCCAACTATAATGTAATTAAGTTTCGCGACTGACCGTACGGTAAATCACCCGGAGTATACTGTCTATGAGTATTTCGTGTGTGAATGCAGACATTCTCCTGCTATGAGATGCATGTAAGGCCATCTGCTGACATTGGAGTTGATATATGGTAACGCTAGCAACTTAGTTAGCCCAGTTAGCACTGTGTCAATGGCTTAGCAGCCCGAAAAACGTTTACCCATTTAAACAGTCGTGGTAGATACCTTGTTTGTTTTAAACATCATAAATACACAAACAACAATGCATACTTACAGGTTGTGTACCCGAATCTCCCGCTGGTCCAAACAAATTAGTAGGAACAGCATCGTCCTTCAGTGCCCTACGCTGTGCATATCCGGCATGAATCGCTGCAATGTTTGCGAAGCTTTGGTCCGTGAAATGCCGCACACACAGTACACTACCGGCTCAAACATCTGAAGGAACAGTGTTAACAAGAATTACTTCGTCGTGGTTCTGCCCTCGGTAAGGCATACATTGAAGATTTCCCCTCACAAGACAGGAAACAGACCCTCGTTGGCATGACTGGATACAGTTTTGAAATGAACCTGAGCTTCCAACAGTATATATGTTCGGCTGGCAGAGGGTGCGGCTATAGCTCTGGGCGTGGCTACTGGGTATCCCTACGTCACGATGCCCAGGAAGAAAACATTGGAAAATGAGAAATCTCCAACGAGGCGTTTTGGGGAGGTCTTTTCTGTGTTAGAATTTTACTCCCTACAGGGTGTACTTTGAGGGTTTTTGACTCTGCAGACCGTTTACAAGCATAAAAACCTTCATAACACACAAAGGGACGGGTAATAACCGGAAAAGCATGTCATGGGACCTTTAAACAATAAGAAATGACATTCAACACAATGAGAGAACAACGTGAACTGTCAACGGGGGGCGGGGGGAGCCACGCTGCGGGGAAACTGTGGACCTCTGTCGCCTGTCAGCGCCACTTTTATGAAAAATGGCGTTAAAAAAACAAAACGTCAGTGAGCCGAGCCGGCCGTCAACGGCCCGCTGAACAAACAGATGGCCAGTCTGCCCCTGATTTTGACCAAGAAAACAAGGGTTTCTAAATGTTCCTCACTCAGTCTAGAACGCCTCGTGGTGTCCATATAGGCTTGCCCTCGCTGTCGGAGATGTAACCAAAATACTTCAAAATTTCGTTTCTTGCGTCTTTGTTGTCTACAAGCTGAGGCGCATCGGCAATAGCACTCGCACTTGCAGCCATGCTTCTCGTTTTGTCACATGATATGACAGCTAGAGCTTGCATGAGAGAAAAAAACCGTCACGTCACAGGGAGGCACTGCAGGCACGGCTGCAGGGAGTGGAAACGGAGCGCTGAACACACATAGGAAATACGGCTCTTATTAAAACAATGTCATTCTTAAAGTATCTCTAGTATCGGTGCACCGTGCAACACTAGTTGGAGGCGGAGGGACAAGATCTTAGCCAGTATTTTACAATCCACATTTAAAAGGGAGATTGGTCTATAGTTACTACAAAGAGTAGGGTCTTTGCCTTTCTTCAGAAGCAGAGAGATGGATGCCAGCGATGGGGTTGCAGGTAATTGGCCTACCTCAAGGGAATCATTAAACATCCTTGCTAGAATTGGGACCAAAAGAGCCGAATATGCCTTGTAAAATCCGACTGGGATGCGGGGACTTACTACACAAACTGCACGAGCCTGCTGAGCCAGGAGCCTCTCAGCCTTGTCCCCCTGTTCAAAGAAGCGTTTCTTGGTTTGTCTTAATTGTTTTTCCACCATTTGTGTCATTAAAAGGTCATGTGTTGAATGCAATAAAAGAGGTTATTTATAAAGGGCAGTTGAAGGGGATGAGGAGTAAGTTTCATCAATCTTCTGTAGCTCATCTGCTATTTCCAAAAGCCGAGCCTTTTTAGTCTTTCTTAGTTGTGAAACATATGAAATGACGTGCCCCAGAAAGTAGGCCTTGAGAGCCTCCCACAGCGTACCACTGCTAACGTCTAACGCGTCATTACACTCAATATAGAGAGGAACCTGCGAGGCCACAAAATCGTTAAATTTGAAACCAGACAGTAGGTGAGAGCTGAACCGCCATACTTTAGAAGGAGATACACTAATGGGGCATTTCCACTACAGGGCCTCGCTCGGTTTGGCTAGGCCTCGTTAGGCCTCGTTAGGACTGGCTCACTTTATGCTGCGTTTCCATTACAGTTTAGTAGCTGGGGCAGTAACTATAGTAACGCAGTGTAGGCGGAGCCGTGACGTCATCTTCAATGAGAACCACAGAAAAACAACATCAGCCGTTAGCTGTTAGCACTCAGAGCTCACAGCTCCTCATATCTGTTCAGAAACTAGACAAAAGTTAAACAAGTACAAACCACAGACTGCCTGTGTCATGGTGAATACAGTCGCTGCTTTATTTATGTCTGTATAGGCCATTGTTGTGAGTGTGGACGGTCGGAGCATATACTGCGTTAGCTTAAGCCAATCTCCATTTAGAAAACACGCATTTTAAAAGTTTTTTGCCTGCCGTCTGTCTGCAGACTTGTCAAAGCATTAATTCATGGTTTTTACTAACCGGTATCAGTATGTTGTTACTTCGGCATCATTTTGAAACGTGTATTACAATTAAATCACGGTAAAATATGTTCATTTTGTTGTAGTTGTAGCCCCCTTGCCAGCGATTCTCTCTCTAGTTTAGCATACTCAGCCCGACTCAGCCTGTTTGTTGGCCCGGAAAGAACCTCGATTTTATGGGGCCAGAAAAACGGTGAAATAGTACCTGCTAGCCGGTACTACGCCAAGTGGAAACGCAACCAAAAACGGGCCGGGCACAGCACGCTTAGAGCGTACACCGCGCTGTAGTGGAAATGTGCCATAAGAGGGAAGTGGATTTCAACAGATACAGGGGCATGATTTGAGGTAACTATAGGGTGGTTAGGCAAATATGTCTTACCTTTGCTGTTTTCTGATCAAAAGTTGTGTTCAATGGCATTAAAACGCATATAAACGCTGCTGAAGGTTTATCCAATGTCTCGGTGTCACTTTGAAATGATTACTGATAATCCATCGTAATATTTATGGCAATAAGCCTAGTTTTCAGTTTTCAGAGCGTAACGTAGCTTTCGGTTTGGGCAAACTGCGTGCGCATCACTCTCACTCATGTCCTGTGAACACCTCTGCCAGCTGAACTGCACACACCCTGAGAACAGGTGCAGGAGCCTTGTGTGGGTTAACCCTTTTAAAGGATTTGCACACATCTGCCCTGTCTAAAACAAAAGGGCAGGGCCCCTGATCCTTCTGTGCCTCCACAGCCTGGCTGCTCTCGAATCGTGCAAAAAAACTGTTCAGCTCATCTGGGAGAGATGCGCACGCAGACACTCCCGCAGCACCCCCTGCTGCTCCTTTGTAATCTGTCATTGTTCTTAGTCCCGCCCACATGTTCCGGGTGTTACAGCCTTTGAAGTCAGACTTCTTCCAAACCACATCAAGCATTATTTCAAACGCTTTCTCTCTTGCGGGTTTACCTTTTTTATAGTCAGCTTCTTTAAACATATTCTCTCCAGTACAGCGTTAGCTCTGAGTGTTAGTGATGCTTGCTAATGTAAACACAGACCATATTACTTCAAAAACACGTCACGCATTGTGTCTGATACAGCGACGTTTCTGATAGGTCCGTTGGTGTAAAGCCCGCCCACATTTCCAATGTTACGTCATATCGGACGCAAATCTGGATCAGCTCCGTTGTACCCCCGTTTTTAGAGATTTGGGTACGGAGGAAAAGAGAGAGGGTTTTTATTTTCTGACGCTTTGTGAGTCTCCTTACACACCGGGGACAGATATTTATGTAAATTAAAAAGTGCATTTTGCATTATAGGGGACCTTTAACAGTAAACCATCTCTTTGACATTTGATTTCACAATCATCAATGTTTTACAATCTTAGATTTGAAACCTGGTGATACTTATTTAAATGAATTGAAAATTCATCCATCCATCCCATCCAATCTTAAAAATTGGTTGTTTCACGCTACTTCTCTGTTTTGCAGTCGTACAAGATCATCAACTTCGCCCCCACCCTGCTTCAGATAATCGTGTCGGAGCAGGTGGAGTTTCCTGTTCGCCAGGCAGGTAAGGCTCAGTAGTCCATAACCTCACACTGTTGTTTGGTTGCTTCGCATATCCCTGCTAAACAGTTATTTTGTCAGAATGTGTAAACACTGCCCCAAACGTACCCCTTTTCCACTGAAAGTCAGTTTGGTTCTAGCTCCGTGCTGGTGCATGTTTAGGGGAAATGTATCTGAGTAAAAGTACACATTTAGTTTGCACATCACCGGTGTGGCTGCACAAAAGCATCAAATCAACGGCGAATCAAAACAAACAAAGTTTAGAGAGGGCACAACTTAATAAGTGACTAATAGAAGTTATTAACAGAAAAATACCAAATCAATTAAGAAAGCATAAAGTTAAAATGATTACAAATCTAGCAGGAGCCACTGCAACAGGCTGTTGCACGGCTGGCACATGCTCACTTTTATACACATTTAATGTCTTCCTGTTGGATCAATAAAGGCCATAAGCATGTATGTGTGTATAAAAACATATTCTGCTGCTCTGTGAGCTCTCCTAACAGGGTTAGGGTTCTGACTATGTCTCTGTCTGACTCTGTCTGACTCTGTCTGTCTCTGTCTGACTCTGTCTGTGTCTGTCCGACTCTGTCTGTCTCTGTGTGTAGCGGCCATCTACCTGAAGAACATGGTGAGTCAGTACTGGCAGGACAGGGAGCCCTCTCTGGGGGAAGTGATCTTTCCCTTCAACATCCACGAGAACGACCGGCAGCAAATCAGAGACCACCTAGTGGAGGGTATCATCCGCTGTCCTGAGTCAATACGGTAAATAGACAGAACATGGCCGCACATATATAGCACACATACTTGCCATTCATCACAGATGTCTGCATCTCTTCTGTAGTGTTTGTAATGGATAGTCCTGTTAATCTATAAAATCGTTTTAAACATTGCGATTAGTTTTATATTTAGATAACAGTGGGAACCTGAAATGTATGCATTGAAAGAATACACTTTCCTCCTGACTAATACAATAACTGACTTCATATATTTATGCACTGTCCACAGTTCGCAGCTGACCATGTGTCTGCGAGTTGTCATCAAACACGACTTCCCAGGCCGCTGGACAGCCATAGTGGATAAGATCGGCGCGTACCTGCAGTCTCAGAGCAGCGGCAGCTGGTACGGCAGCCTGCTGGCTCTCTACCAGCTGGTCAAAACATACGAGTGAGTAAGCTGTTCATTTTCATCTGCATCACCTCACTGCTGAGAAGGACCCTCCTGGGGAGTCATTAGCCCTCACATCACAACTACAGGTTTAAAGGAGGAGGCTCCCATGCTGGGAGAATGACTCTGAACTCTGTTATTTCCAATATAAAGCAAAATAATCAATTTCAATGAACTACCCCTTTAATACAAATCCAGCCTCAACACCACATACAAATATCCTTCTTGAATACCTTTAGGAAGACCAGTCACATTTACCAGCACAAACAACAATACTAGATTGTCCGAGTGCTGCGGAAGCATGCAGGACGGACACTATTAACCCTCATTAGATCTGTTAAAAACAACAGCTGCTGCTACAGTATAACCAGCGAACTCTATACACAGGCTCGGTTATTACTTTAGTACTTCATATTCTGATTCCTGATGATGGAGAAGTCCTCCTTCTGACTTGCAAAGGCCCCTTGTGAACCACAAATCATATTTTTCCTCTGAAACAAATACCAACAAGCTTTGAGAAGTCTATGCAGGCAAAAAGACAGAAGAAATGAGCTCAATAAGTCTGTAGTTTACCAGAATGCTCAATTTACAAAAATGCTTATCTTGTGAGTTTGCAGGTATGAAATAAAAAATCTTTTTTTTTTTGTACAAAATCACCATTTCAATATATTTTTCCATGATTGTGTGTAAAAAAAAAAAAAAAAAGGTAATTTACCACCCTATCACAATATCAGTCAAACATATTTGTTACCTTTTTCCCAAATCAAGCAGCATTAATTGGCAACACACAAGTCTCATTACGATCAGGCATTTTATTGCCATTACAATTATTAAAACATTACTTTTTGTACAATCAATCAATGAAAATACTTTATTAATCCCCGGGGAAATAGGTTTCGTGACAGTTGCACCATATTCAAATCAGTAAATATGACCATGCTAGCCGGCTTCAGACAGCCGTGGGGTTGCTGCACAACAGTGGCATGGATGCACAACAGCAGCACCCAATGGCAAAATAAACTTCAAAATCTCTCCCTCCAAAACTTATAGAAGGCACATCCTAATAAGTTACTAGCAGAAGTTATAAACAGGAGATAAAATGAACGCTTAAAGTAAAAAAAAAAAAAAAATGTGCAGAAGAGATCCATTCTATTATTGATTGTGTGCATATCTACATGTTCCAGGTACAGGAAGGCGGATGAGAGGCAACCATTGTTGGCAGCAATGCAGATCTTTCTGCCGAGGATTCAGCAGCTCATCAGCCAGCTGCTGGCCGACGCCACCATCTTCTCTGTCCTCATCCAGAAACAGATCCTTAAGACCTTTCACGCTCTCGTACAGGTGTGTGTGCGTGTGCATGTGTTCATGTGTGTGTTTTTTTTTAGCTTGACTTGATTCAGAAACGTAATGTCTTAAGACCTGTTCTTGGGAATATCTTTATGAAGAAATTAGTGCTGTCAATAGATCAAAATATTTAATCGGATTAATCACAATAAAATTCTGTGATTAATCACAAGTTTAAAAGGAACATATTTATTTGTAGTTTAGTTTCTTGCAGGTGGAAAGACAAATGCAGGTATGGAAGAATGAAATGCTAAAAGCAGTTAGAGATCAAGACTTTTATTATTTTATTTGTTACTTTTCACTTGAGTTTTTCTGAGCAAAAAGGTCTGAGGGAGTGCTTAGTATTGCCCAAAACAACGAAAATAAATTATATAAAAATAATCTCTGCATTGTTTAATTACTTCTAAGTGGTGCAGTTTGAGAATGTACAATTGGCCCAGTCTTCTCTAAAGTTACACTGCAACCTGCCTGTGTGACACAGAGTCCAACCATACAGTCTGTGTCCAACACATGACCTGCAATACACATGCTACAGCTGCCCAGCTGCTCACTGTTTGTAAAAGTAAATAAATAGTATTTTCATTTAAATAATGTGCTTTTTATACCCTGCGTCATAAACAATACTGACTTCCCTGTGCTCCTCCGAGTCTGTCTCACAGTCCGGGGAGGACAGCGCGAGAACACAGACAGGGAGGCTGGTTTACTTCATAGAGGAAATGGTGGTCAATATTAACAGCATAGGAGCTAAAACGCTTAATAACCTTCATTACGTGTTAGAGAAAGAACACAAGAAAGGAGCGGAGCCGCTGTGTGTAGAAAGAGAGAGAGAAAGAGAGAGAGACTCTGAGCTGCACCGTGCAGCGATCAGCTGATCCGCAGCAGAGAGAGAGAGAGAGCTGTGGTCCTCCTGTCCTCACAACTATTCATTTTAAAGTTTTGCTTCCCAAGCCTGCAACTGTGCTACACGGCCCGCCCCACCCCCGTAACAGTACAGAAAGCGGCGAGATGCATCGATAAGCAGAACCGAAACTAACATTTCTAAACGATACCGATGGAAATTAAATTTCGGATTTCGGTACCCAACCCTACTCCTCAGTCATCCTGTTAGTTTAACGTGCCTGCCTCTTAGTTAATTAAGTGCTTAGCTGGGTGGAATAGGGGCGAGGGGTTAGTGTATTAGGAGTTGAAGTTAAGTGAGAAACTAATCAAACAACAATCCCAAATGAAAACCCTTGTCTTTCCTATTGCATTGTTGGTTCCAAATCCAAGCAACACTTGCAGTATTAAGATCAACTTCATTTGTCACACTGTCAGAACGGAACAAGTGTCCCTCAAATTCATAATTGATACATTTTAGAGTCTGCACTGGGAATGCTATGGTGACCCTGATGGTCAAAGAACAACATTTCAGGTGATGGTGGTGGTGGTGGTGATGATGATGATGATGATGATGATAATGATGATGTCCAACAGTACTCGCTGCCTCTCCAGCTGATCAACAACACAGTGATGACTCAGTGGATGGAAATCCTTCGAGCGATAATGGACCGAGGCGTCCCAGCTGTGAGACACACACACACACACACACACACACACACTAGGCCACTTGTACTAATAGTTTGACTTACTGTGATGGAGACTGGAGAGCGATCCGATGTCTGGCAAACTGAAGGTTTAATTGAAGCTTGATCAAGGTGGATGACACTGGTAAACACAGTGATGTGTGCATGCTGCCATCCATTCTGAAGCCCAGCAATCCTCTCAAATATTTATTTAGATAGGAAATAGCTCAACAATGACTTCACTCTTAATTACTTAAATGTGTGTGCTTCTGATCTGGCAATGGACTTTGTGACACAGGTCTACTCTGACTCTAGGATTAACCATCTAGAATTGTGGTCAAGGTAACTGTGACCTCACTGAAGATGATTAGCTATTCCCAGACCCCTCCCGCTGCAGTGGGCAGTAGAAGCTCAACCAATCCTGTTTTAAACATCAAAAGGAACTTTCTTTTACAACATGCTAACTTATCATATTATTAGGAGAAGTCTTATTTAACAATATATGCTGGATGTCTAAAATGAAGTGTGTGTTAGGAGACCCTAGAGGTGGATGAGGACGACCGGCCTGATCTGGCATGGTGGAAGTGTAAGAAGTGGGCGTTACGCATCATCACCAGACTGTTTGAACGGTGGGTCCAGACCTGCTCTCACTTCACTAAAGACAGATTTGTGGTAAGCAGAGGGACAGTCACATAAACTCAAATGCTTCTCGTGTCACTTACAGGTATGGAAGCCCTGGCAATGTGACAAAGGAGTATAACGAGTTTGCAGACTTTTTCTTAAAGACATACGCAATGGGCATACAGCAGGTAAGAATGTGTTCCTAAGACTTAAACATTTTAGTTTAATTCAGTTATCAATATCACAGTGTCAATTTACAAAGGTATGGCACGTTTATTTATGTAACACATTTCAAAAAAAGGTAATTTAAAGTGCTTTGCAAGTGTTTGATCCAGGATTTGATGGTGTCTTTACGTTGTAGTCCATCAAACAACATGTGTGTGTGTGTTGCGTGTCCAGGTCCTGCTGAAGGTGGTGGACCAGTACAGACAGAAGCAGTACGTTACCCCTCGTGTCCTGCAGCAGTGCCTCAACTACCTCAACCTGGGCCTGTCACACTCACTGACCTGGAAACACATGAAACCACATATGCAGGTAGGACAGTCATTAAGAATTGACATATGGTTATGCTGCATAATTATATTGAAAAGTTATATTTTTCATTGTAAGAAGTTACTATGAGCTGCCATTACTTTACCATAAGATGTTGCCACAAGCCCTCTCTTTATTGAATGGTACCACTTATTTTTAGGTCAGCAGTTGTTGAACTCTCACAGAAACTAGAACCTTGAGCACAGAAGCCCCCCAGGGCTGTGTCTGTTCCTCTTTCCTTTTTGACCTTCTACACAAACTAGTGTAGAAGATATAACCATAATGATCACATCATTCAATCTCAGTTAATCCTCTATCTTGATTTCTTAAAAGGATAGTGACCTATCTGACTATTATGAAGAGATGTAAAGGTTTATTCTCCCAAATGTTAAAAGCACAGAGGAGATGGTGTTTGACCCCAGGGAAGCTGGAGACCTCGTGCCTGTCACCATTCAGGAGAAAACATTGGTCATGGTTGACTTTTAAAAAGAAATCAGTTTTCCTCAACTTTAGTGAAAAATATCTTGGGGTTAGCTTTCAGATGTAGTTATTTATTAAGTTATTACCAAAACCGATAATAATCCAATGCAGAGGCAATAATGTAATGTAATACATTATTTGATATATATTATATATGTATATTTATATAGTCTTAAAGTTAAAACCGCCCCTTTTAGTGCAACCATAATGCTGATGTGGCCCGCCATGAAATTGAGTTTGACCCCCTGATATGGACTGATCAGGGGTACACTAATGGCGCTTTTCCACTGGACGTAGCACGGTTTAAGCTTTTTTTGCTTTTCCACTAGGGGTAGTTCCGGCTCAGGGCTACCTTTTCACATTTTTTCTGGCCCTCCAAAATCGAGGCTCTTACCGGGCCAACAACCGGGCTGAATATGCTAAACTAGTGGCGTAAACACTCTCGACTGCTGATTGGTCAGAGAGAATCGCTGGCAAGGGGGCTACAACTACAACAACATGAACATATTTGACCGTGATTTAATTGTAATACACGTTTCAAAATGATGCCGAAGTAACAACATACTGATACCGGTCTGCAGACAAGACGGCAGGCGAAAAACCTTTTTAAAATGCGTGTTTTCTGAATGGAGATCGGATCGATCATGCTAAGCTAACGTTGTATATGCTGATGCTCCGTCCACACTCACAACAACGTCCGACAGACATAAATAAACCAGCGACTGTATTCACCATGACACAGACAGTCTGTGGTTTGTACTTGTTTAACTTTTGTCTAGTTTCTGAACAGATATGAGGAGCTGTGAGCTCTGAGTGCTAACAGCTAACGGCTGATGTTTTGGTTTTCTGGTTCGCATTGAAGATGACGTCACGGCAGCTTTACGCAGCGTCGCTCCGCCCGCCGAACAGCCGATCACCCCGCCTACACTGCGTTACTATAGTAACTACCCCAGTTACTAAACTGTAATGGAAACGCAAAGTGAGCCTGGCCTACCAAGGCTGTGCTAAGCCGTGCTAGGTCCTGCAGTGGAAAAGCGCCATAAGTGAATCTGACTGCACTGGCACTACCCGCCATAATTAAGATGCGCCTCTGTTGTGAGAAAACAAACTATGTTCTAAATTTAGAAGAAAAAAAATTATAATTCAAATACATTAACTACTTTGTCAATAAAACGTTCTTCTGTTTTTTGTCCATATAACTTTTGTTTCCATTGCGTATATACAGTACCAGTCAAAGGTTTGGACACACCTTCTCATTCGAAGGTTTTCATTTATTTGAATTATTTTCTACATTGTAGATTCATACTGAATACATCAGAACTATGAAAGAACACATATGGAATTATGTAGTAAACAAACCAGAATATGATTTATATTTTAGATTATTTAATGTCTGTGCCTTGATGACAGCTTTGCACACTCTTGGCTTCTCTGTCAGCTTCATGAGGTCGTCACCTGGAATAGTTTTCCAACCGTCTTGAAGGACTTCCCAGAGGGGCTGAGCACTTGTTGGCTGCTTTTCCTTCACTCTGCGGTCCAACTGATCCCAAACCATCTCAATTGGGTTGAGGTCGGTGATTGTGGAGGCCAGGTCCTCTGACGCAGCTCTCCATCACTTTCCTTCTTAGCCCTCACATAACCCTTACATAGCCTGGAGGTGTGTTTGGGGTCATTGTGTGTTGAAAAACAAGTGATGGTCCCAGTAAGAGCAAACCAGATGGGATGGCATGGCGCTGCAGAATGTTGTGGTAGCCATGCTGGTTAAGTGTGCCTTGAATTCTGAATAAATCACCAACAGTGTTACCAGCAAAGCCCTCCCCCACACCATCACACTTCCTCCTCCATGCTTCATGGGGGGAACCACACATCCAGAAACCATCCGCTCACCTTCTCTGCGTCTCACAAAGACACGGAGGTTGGAACCAAAACCTCAGATTTGGACCCATCAGACCAAAGTCCAGATTCCACTGGTCTAATGTCCAGTCCTTGTGTTTCTTGGCCCAAACTATTCTCTTCTTCTTGTTGTTCATCCTCAGTAGTGGACCTTTGCAGCGATTGGACCCTGAAGGCCTGATTCACGCAGTCTCCTCTGAACAGTGGATGCTGAGATTGTCTGCTGCTTCAGCTCTGTGATCATTTATGTGGGCTCTAATCTGAGGTGCTTTCATTAGCAGTTTCTGAGTCTGGTAACTCTGATGTATTTATCCTCTGAGCAGAGGTAACTCTTGCTCTTCCTGTCCCGGGGGGGGGGTCCTCATGAGAGCCAGTCTCATCATAGCATTCGATGGTTTTTGAGACTGCACTTGAGGATACATTCAAAGTTCCTGACATTTTCCGGATCGACTGGCCTTCATTTCTTAAAGTGATGATGGACAGGACTGGTGGGAGGCGTGTGGTGCAGTGGGTTGTGCGTTGGTGTTCGGATCAGACCCCACTGCAGTCAGCATGTCGTTGTGTCCCTGAGACACTTCACCCCAAAGTGCTCCTGTGGGGATTGCCCACAGTATTGAGTATGTAAGTCACTTTGGATAAAAGCGTCTAACAAGTGAAATGTAATGGACTGTCGTTTCTCTTTACTGAGTTGAGTGGTTCTTGCCATAATATGGATTACAACAGCAGTCAAATAGGGCTTTCCACTGTGCACTAACTCTCCACAACACAACTGATGGTCTCAACACATTAAGAAGGCAAGTCATTCCACAAATGGACTCTTGACAAGGCACACGTGTTCATTGGAAACCATTCCAGGTGACGACCTCATGAAGCTGACTGAGAGAAGCCAAGAGTGTGCAAAGCTGTCATCAAGGCAAAAGGGGCTACTTTGAAGAATATAAAATATAAATCATATTCTGGATTGTTTAACACTTTTTTGTTTACTACATAATTGTAGTAATGTGTTATTTCATAGTTGTGATGTATTCAGTATTAATCTACAATGTAGAAAAATATTCAAATAAATAAAAACCTTTGAATGAGAAGATGTGTCCAAACTTTTGACAGGTACTATAGATATGGTGTACATGTATTATATGGTCCTCTCTCACATCACTTACTGTCTAACAACTTCTCACAGGCCAGTACAAGTATGAAACCACTATTGCCTTTGTATAAACACCCAAAGATCTATTCATTCTCATCGCTGCCCAACACTACGTTTTTAGCATCTGTCCAGGGGCTATAGATTGAAAGTAGCCTCTTGGCTAACTGGCGCATTGACTGCAATGTTTATTTATTTCAACTGTCCCTGTCGTTGCCGAGTCCAGGCGTCGTTTCGCGTTGTGCCGTCGAGCTCCCCGCTGTATTTTTTCATCCGCAACAAGATGGAGTAACGTCTGTACCTCGTCCAACGACCACGGCGTGTTTTTGTTGTTGCTGCCATTTCTTTATGGATTTGTTGACGGTAGCTCGTCTGTTTTTAAAAATGGTGCTTATGCAACGCTTGGAGACTGTCTCACCGAAGAATTGTGACGATTCTCTCTGACCAATCAACAGTCGGGAGTGTTTACGTCATTATGAACCCATGAACTGTTGGCCATTGACACTTGCGGGAGGGACAATTTACCTCAGCTGAGGGTTGGCATGGAAACTTTACCCGCCAGTTACCTTGACTCACGTGGGAGAGCGAGGGCCCGCTAAATGCTGCTCGCAGCTCTAATTTAAAGTTTTTCTTTTATATGCTTAAGAATCAGACCTGAACAAACCTCATACATTCATATCTCTGTCCACGTTACATTAAAGGTGGGCATAGGAATGCAAATGTTCATCCATCTTTGTGATTGATTTTTCTCCTTGGTATTGTTTGTTGTTTTTAAGCCCATGTAATACTCCTCCTGAGCTTATGAAAATCATCCTCTCTTACAGACCATATGCCAGGAGGTCATTTTTCCACTGATGTGTTACAAAGATGAGGATGAGAAGCTTTGGCAGGAAGACCCTTATGAGTACATCCGCATGAAGTTCAGTGAGTACTGCAACATTCCGTTGTGATATTATACTATCAAAACCAGTATGCAAGAGTGGTTGGCTAACCGGCAACACCATAGCCTTTCCCAATTCCCAGTTTGCCTCCTTTCCTCTCACCACGTCAGTGCTGCCGACGGGAAATGTAAGGGAAGCATGGGAGGAGAGAGGAACAAGCATTTAATAAACCTTCATCCTTTACTATGAGCCAGCAAGTTATTTAATAGAATGTGTTGGATTGTGTTGTTATACTAATGTATTCTATCATAGGCTTCAGATGAGTATGATAGTATGACTTGTATATTGTGGCTTAAAGTCACCAGAATGTAGGCTATGGATGTCATTCTTCATCATTTCCACAACAAACGCACACAAATAATTAATATGTTAATAATGTATATGTATATAGTATGTTTGCGTGTATACATATACCTAAATATACTGTTTGTATGTATGAAAATGTATATGTATACTCACTGGCCACTTTATTAGGTACACCTGTTCAACTGCTCGTAACGCAAATATCTAATCAGCCAATCACAGGGCAGCAACTCAATGCATTTAGTCATGTAGACATGGTGAAGACGACCTGGTGAAGTACAAACAGAGCATCAGAACGGGGAAGAAAGGTGATTTAAGTGACTTTGAACCAGCGACGTGCAGTCAGGGGAGGCAGGGGAGGCAGAGCCTCACCTGTCATACTCCAATGTAACGGAAAAAAAACTAAAGAAATAATAATAATAATAAAATGTCTCCACTGATCTGTGTTGTAAATGTGATTTCTGTATGATTCCAATCACTTTTTATAGTCAAAATCGGCAAATTTACCGAGCTCCGCTACAACTACATGGGAGCGATGAGAAGTGAGGCAGGGACGAGCTCTGCCTCACGTAACCCTACAGAAACGGGCTGGAGCGCAGGCACTAATTTAGTGCGGGCACTTATTTTGTGCCCGCGCTCCAGCCAGTTACTGTGGGGTGAGGTGAGGCACAGATGAGATCGGCCTCATCTCAGATGCGTCACCCCACAGAAACTGGCTGGAAAGCGGGCCCTAAGCGCATGCCTGTTACCATCTCACTGTAGGTCACAAATGTAATGTTTGTAGATCCCTTGTATTACATTTATCCTCGCCATCCATAGTCTCTAAATAACTTATTTCACGTATATATGATATTTAGGCTCGCTGGTCTCATCATACAACGGCAATGAAAAAAGCACCAGGAGAGGCAGCCATAACCTCTGCCGCACTGAAGGGGGCGCACGTGAGCCCACAGGTTCTTGTTGCTACTGTTATTCTACGCAGAGACGGTAGACGCAAACAACAAGCTAGACTTTTGAAACTAGAGGAAGATAAGGAGGACTTTTACAAAACAGTAATAGAGATTGTTGTCCAGAAGGATAGCATGGACTTCATCTTCAAGTCAAGGTAAGACCACAACTGTAATGAAAATGGGATCTTACTAAGAAGAACAATCTAATATTTAGATTTTGGGTATCCTTTTGTTGAACGGTCTGTTTAAAATTAATCGAAGCATCAGACTAAAAAAGCTTTTGAAAATAACAGAATATTCAGATTAAGGTCAAAATATAATATTTGTAAATCTGACTCTGAAAGAGTCAGTGCCTCACCAGCCATGAACCTCACTGCACGTCACTGCTTTGAACGTAGCATGGTTGTTGGTGCCAGACGGGCTGGTCTGAGTATGTCAGAAACTGCTGATCTGATGGGGTTTTCACATCCATCTCTAGGGATTACAGAGAATGGTCCGAAAGAGAGAAAATATCCAGTGAGCGGCAGTTCTCTGGGACAAAATGCCTTGTTGATGCCAGAGCTCAGAGGAGAATGGCCAGACTGGTTCAAGATGATAGAAAGGCAACAGTAACTCCAATAACTACTCTACAATCAAGGTGCAGAAGACCATCTCTGAACACAACACGTGGAACCCTGAAGCAGATGGGCTACAGCAGCAGAAGACCCCACCGGGTGCCCCTCCTGTCAGATAAGAACAGGAAACTGAGGCTACAATTCAACGGGCTCACCAAAACTGGACAATAGAAGATTGGAAAAATGTTGCCTGGTCTGAAGAGTCTGAATTTCAGCTGGGACATTCGGACGGTAGGGTCAGAATGTGGCGTAAACAACATAAGAGCATGGATCCGACCTGCCTTGTGCCAACAGTTCAGGCTGGGGGTGGTGGTGTAATAGTGTGGGGGATATTTTCTTGGCATACTTTGGTCCCCTTTGTAACAATTGAGCATGGTTTAAACACCACAGCCTACCTGAGTTTTGTTGCTGACCATGTCCATCCCTTTATGACCACAGTGTAGATCAGCAGGATAACGCGCCGTGTCACACAGCTCAAATCATCTCCAACTGGTTTATTTAACATGACAATGAGTTCACTGTACTCAAAGGGCCCCAGATCTAAATCCTATAGAGCACATTTGGGATGTGGTGGAACAAGAGATTCACATCATGGACAAATCTGCAGCAACTGCATGATTCTATCATTTTAATATGTACCAGAATCTCTGAGGGATGTTTCCAGCACCTTGAGTCTATGCCACAAGTAATTAAGTGTACCTAATAAAGTGGCCCGTGAGTATATATGTATATATTTGTGTATACTTTCAGCTAATTCATTTCAGTTATATGTAATGGTGGAGGAAGGATGTCCACCATGTTTTTGAACGCATTCTTTCTTCCCATTCTTTTTGAGAGTGTGTATTTTTGTCTGTTGCAGACCTCTATGATGACCATGCCCTACCAGCCACTGCTGCCCAGAGCTTCCTGTGTAAAGCTGCTCGCAAGAGGAAGGAGGTGAGGAGCTGCATTAGGTCTGAACACATTTACATGCACAACATTAACCCAACTACAACCAAACAAGACAGGTTTACAGATTCAATAGATGAAACAAATGTTTACCACATTATACAAGAATGTATAGACATTAAAATAATATCATTAATAAAAAAAAACAAAGACAAAACATCTATTGTCCCCATGCCAGACCACAGAGCCCTGCTGTTATAGTTTGTTGGAACTCAGGTCCTAAATAAGTGGTAAAGGGACTCCAAACATTATGAAACTGAAATGGTTCATCTCTTAAATAAAAGCTGAGAGCTTCAAGAGGCAGGAACTCTAACACACTACTTATCCACTGTGTGACATTTGGGGATTCCTCCGACACATACTTTAGTAAAACGCAATGTTTTATCTTACATTATCCTGGAGAGTAACCCATAGAACCGTGTTATTAATTGTGTTGAGTCCTTCTTAATAAGTATTTGTTCTAATGAGAAGATTTCACCACAGAATTAAAATGGTTTGAGTCTGGATATACAAAAGCTGTGTAATTGCAAGTACCAAAATACTAATGAGAGGCTGGGATTTTGTGACTATCTTTTAACATATCAAAGGTCATAATTTAGCCATTTTCCACAATGTCTCCCAGTGTCTTTATGCCTTTATCAGACCAGAAAGAGTTATGCTCCAGAACAGGGGGGAAGTCTGGATTAGAGTACAGGGGCGTCAGCGGGGATGTAGTGCCGTCCATGCCCTCCATCTCCCTAGTTAATCTCCAAACGTTAAGGGTATTCTGTAAAAGAAAGTTGCCTTTAACAGCTGAACCAACCCACTTCCTGGAAGTAAATATAACATTTTTCAGAGGTATTGGGCTTATTGGGTCAGCCTCAATATCAAGCCATATAGACTCTGGGTCCTCTTTAAACCAGTCTGTAATATATCTGCAGAGACATGAGAGTTGATGCAGTTTAATGTTATGAACAGCTAAGCCCCCCTTCTCCAGTGGAAGCTGTAGGCGAGCAAGTTTGACCGGTTATGACAAACAAAAAAGAGGGAGACGCACAAGGATTTCCGCAATAACAACGGCACATTTATTTATATAAATCAGAAATGTCACTGCAGTGGGGTTCTGTCAACACTCTTTTAACTTAAAATGGCCCAGGCTGGACGAGGGGAAGGGGATCTTGGAGAGAGCGTCAGCCCCGTGACTCCGGGCAGCTGGGCTTACGTAGATCCTGGGGCACTGGCCAGGTGTCCCCAGTTAGGCTGATTGGCCTCCTCAGCTCCACCCACAACGAGAAAAAGAAATGCCTCACCGTTTGTTCTCCCAACTGCTCTGCAACTCCCACCCCATTCTCTCGACCCCCTGCAACCGGATCCTTGAAGCTATTTAGAAAAAAAGAAGAGAAGAGACAACTGGACACTAGAACGGCTACATAAACACACACTAACAGGGCATTACTCACCGGGGGCCAGAGACAATAGCCGCGTTCACACCGGAGTACTTTGGCCCGTACTTTTCGCGTTTAGTTCCGTTAGTACCCCTTATGTCGCGTTCACACCATAAAGAGTACTTAGTGCCGTGAACTTTTACCCCCATTTTTAGTGCCTGCTGAAAGATGGTACTTTCCTGGGGGAAAAAAGTGCCCCAGTTCTGATTGGCTGGGCGAATTGCAAACCACGCCCCGTAAAACTCTGAAATGTTTTGTCGAGCCGCCATTTTATTATCCTCGCATTAGCATTATTAGCATTAGCATTCGCCCAGCGCACAAACGCAGAGAGACTAACTTATGGCAACACAAAAGAAAACATGGGAGCGGTGGAGATGAGGAGGTGTCGGCGTTCTGGCGATTTACTCGGAAGGCTTCTACTGAAGCCAGTCCCCAACTCCGGGGACTTCCGGCCGGGAACTTCGAGAGCAGTATACACCGTGAAGTGGTTTGCGGCCTGCCAGTAAGCCCAAAGCAGAAGAAGACGAAGTGACGTCAGCGGCTCATTTGCGTAATCTTCCCTCAGGGAACTTATTCCGGTGTGAACGCGATCTGTACTAAGGGCCCTGGGGTAATAAGTGCCGGGGCACTGAGTGCCGGCACTAAGTACGGCAAAGTACTTGGTGTGAACGCGGCTAATAGGCGCTTTCACACCAAGTACTTTTCCCAGGAATAGTTCCCGGAACTTAGTTCCCTGGAACTTTTATTTCCTGGAACTATCTAGAAAATCGCGTTAACTCCCTGACGGAGCCGCTGACGTCACTTCTTCTTCTTCTTCTTCTGCTTTGGGTTTACTGGCAGGCCGCAAACAACTTCACGGTGTATACTGCTACCCGAAGTCCCCGGAGTTGTGTTACTGAAGCCTTCCGAGTAAATCGCCAGAAGCGCCGACACCTCCTCATCACTCCACCGCTCCCATGTTTTCTTTTGTGTTGCCATAAGTTAGTCTCTCTCCGTTGGTGCGCTGGGCTAATGCTAATGCTAATAATGCTAATGCGAGCAAATAAAATGGCGGCTTCACAAAAACTTTTCAGAGTTTTAGGGGGCGTGGTTTGCAATTCGCCCAGCCAATCAGAAAGTGGAACCTTTTTCTCCCCAGGAAAGTCCCTGCTAGAGAGCAGGGACTAAAAAGGAGTGAAAAGGTTCGCAAAAAAAAGTTCTAGTTCCAGATCTTTTTGGTGTGAACGCAAAATCCCAGGAACTATTGGAACTATTCCTGGGAAAAGTACTCCGGTGTGAAAGCGCCTAATGCATCTGCCACCACATTGCTCCCCCCCTTGATATGACATGTCTAAATTATAATACTGGAGCATCAGGGCCCAGCGAATCAGCCTTTGGATAGGGCACTGCAAAGAACTCAGAAAGGTTAACGGGTTGTGATCCGTAAAGACCACAACAGGCACAGAGCTAACATACACACTGAAGTGCTGTAATGCCAAAATCAAAGCTAGCGTTTCCTTCTCAATCACTGAATAGTTCAGCTGATGTTTGTTAAACTTCTTTGAAAAGAAACAAACCTGCCTATCCACACCTAAATCATCAGGCTGTAACAGCACTGCCCCTGCACCCACGTAATTTGCATCCACTTAAAGTTTAAATGGTTTCTCCCACTGAGGATACGCCACTGGATATCTTCAAAATAAACCCCTCAGGTGCGCAACCACATTACCATAAAAGGCCACATACGTAACTGCCACCAGAGGGAATCCCTCACATGTGACGTAACATTCACATGATAAATGTATTTAACCATTAAAAAGGTCCTCATCCACGCACAGCCAAATTAACCGGGCCGACCGAGCTCCCTTGCAAACCACAAACGCTTCACAATCACACCCAAACAATTCTCTTCTTCTTGTTGTTCATCCTCAGTAGTGGCTTATTTGAAGCAATTGGATCATGAAGGCCTGATTCAAGCAGTCTCCTCTGAACAATGGGTGTTGAGATGTGTCTCCTACAATAATTTATGTGGGCTCTAATCTGAGGTGCTGTTCATTTCTGGTTTCTGAGGCTGGTAACTCTTATGTAGCAGAGGTATCTCTTGCTCTTCCTTTCCTGGGGGGTCCTCATAAGAGTTTCATCATAGTAATGTGTTCAAATAATAATGTGTTTTAAGCCTTACCCCGGGATTCCACCGGGTCCGTCTGCGCCGCGGTTTTGGTCCGGCCTCCTCCGGCGTCATACCCTACCAGGCGCGTTTCAGAAGCATTTCAGAAGCGGAGCGTCTTGCCTGCCGGCTCGCAGTTTTTGTTGATTTGGGCATATTTCCTGGACAGGCTACTTTGTACAGACAAAGTTAATAATAACTGTAATATTCCAGTTATAAACGACATGACTCAAAGATGTGTTGCTGTATTTTAGTGGTAAAAAAATGCATTCATCATCATCATTATTCTATATTTAATTTACACAGTGCCTGTAAACCGGAGGAGAACGCTGGCATTTCTCCTCCTACTTGAAAGACTACGGAGGGATAGGGTCTGCAAAATTAGTTTGTGTGTGTGTATATATATATAGGTCTATATAGCTCTGAACGTTCCACTTCCTGCCTGCCCGACCTTACGTTACGGCTGCGCCGCGACAAAAATAGGATTCGATCCTAATTTTAGAGGAGCCCTGCGCCGAGCCGCTTCTGGGACGCTTCTGAGCCGTAACGCGCCGCGTGTGGTGGAATAGCACCCATTGACTAGAGTGGCCGCGATCGCCACGAGCACCGCGGCGCAGCCGTAACGCAGCCTACACACGGCAGCGTGCGTTGCCGCTTGGCGGTGGGCGTGTCTTGAGCTTGGGGAGTTTACGCGAGCAACGCGACCAACAACCAATCACATGAATCTCCCGTGTCTCTCCCCAAGGGCTGGAAAATTGAAGAAGTGACCAGAAAGTCGGGTTTGTCAGCTGGAAAAAGCGATGTCTATTATTTTAGGTACTAAACGAACGGGGGCTTGCAAAACGTTTAGCTGCTGCAGGACACAAGAGTTTGCGGAAACAAGACATGAGTTGATAATTGGAAGGGGGGATCTGTGTAAAGTTTGTGATGGGAAGGGGGGGGGGGTTCTGTTTGCAGCGGGGTAAAAAGGCTTTAAAAAGGCTCCCGTGTATGAATCTCACCATAGACATTAATATCTAAAAAGCGATTTTTAATTCATGTCTATGGTGCTATTTTATGCAACATTGCATGGTGGCTAAATATACTGTCTATGCCTGCTGTCCATTCAAACGAAGTACACTGGATATAAACTCCCCAAACAGGCGAAAACCTACCAGTTTCACCCACTGTCTCTACCACCTCCCTCCATGCCTGGCTCCTCCGGTTTGTATCCCGGTAGGTGAACAGGGACTGAAAGCATCGGGTGATTCCCTACCGCTACGATTATTTTCTCCTCAATTTTTTGGCATATGAGGAAATGAACTGCGGTCTGGCTCTGCCAGCATACACGCGGTTTGATTGGCTAGCGCGTGAATTGTCAGATTTGCATACGCGGGATTTGATTGGCTGCCGCCTCCGCCTCAGCTTCAAAAGTAGAACATTCTCTACTTTTGCAGCGAGCACCGCGAGGAAAGCTACGCTTTGCTCCCAGAATGCAGTTCGGCGAATCGTGACGTCACCCCATTCAAAGTGAATGGGCAGAAGCGTTGAAGAGTCACCGCACGCCGCCGTGTGTAGGGGCCGTTACGCGCCCGTAACGCGCCGCAGACGGACCCGGTGGAATCTAGGGGTTACGGCCGCGGCGTTCACAGCGATCGTGGCCACTCTAGTCAATGGTAGGAGGAGGAGAAATGCCAGCGTTCTCCTCCGGTTTACAGGCACTGTGTAAATTATATATATGGAATACAGTGGCGGCTGGTGGAAAATATTTTAGGTGGGGCTGTGGAAATGGTGATCAAACAATACTAGGGGGGTCCCGCGGTACATTTTTTTGAGAAAAGACCCCCTAAATTATGACTTCTGGTGATGTTAGAGGGGGGGGGAAGGACAATTTGAGGCTTAAAAATATGAGAAGACTGATTAATACCTCCATAACTTCAGTGTGGTTAGCTATGAATCTTCCAAAACTTCCAAACACCTTGTCCTGGACATAGTTTCTACAGCATAAACTGTGCTAACAAGCTGAGATTCCACAGATTCTAGAAATATAAGTATCATCACTGAGCGATCAGAACTCGCGACAGGGGAAGCAAATACAGACATCACACGACGCAGCTTTAGGTAGCAAAACACGGAGATATGCTCACCTTTTGCAGAATAACAATTCTGATCAAAAACGAGAAAAACGCAGCTGAAGGTTAATCCAATGTGTCTGTCACTTTGAAAAAAGGATTGATGATCCATAATTCAATTTTTATGTCAAAAACTGAGTTTTCATTAGCTGCTAATGGTAGCTTCCAGAGTGTATGACAGCTTCCTGTTTTGTCTCCTTGGATACGAGTCCAAACAACTCACAGACTGCACCGCCGCTCACGTAGGAGCCCTGTGACCATCAGATTTGACGACGCTGATTGGCTGAAATTATGTTTCGGCGGCATAGTTTAAAGATAGCAACAGTTGGCTTCTGCTGCACTTGCTGCACTCTCGTCTGGGCGCTGTGCATAGCGCCCAGACGAGAGGGAGTAATGATACACGGGCAAGGCCGGGCAGGAAACATGTGACTTATCAGTAACTTTAGACATCGTAACACAATTTTAAACGAGATTTTATTGTAGATTATACATTTTACTGATACCAATTATATAATATTTACCTTGTTTATTAAAAATAAAAATAAAAATAAAAAATATATTTTTTAAATATATATATATATATATATATATATATATATATATATATATATATATATATATATATATATATTTTTTTTTTTAAATTTAATGTGGGAAGAGGGGGGGCGGCGCCCCTATGGGCCGGCCGCCACTGATAGAATAATTATGATGATGAATAAAAAATGTTATCACTAAAATACAGCAACACATCTTTGATTCATGTCGTTTATAACTGGACTATTACAATTGTTATTAACATTGTCTGTACAAAGTAGCCTGTCCAGGAAATATGCCCAAATCAAGGGATCTAGGGAACAGGAACACGGTATGGGCTCTGCAGTGTTTAAGGACTTGTTGGTGGAACAGAAACTGTGAACAGACTCGGACAGTTACAGAAAACCTCGATCAGTGCTGCAGTCATTTTAAACTAAGTTATTGTGGTCACAGCTCCAGCTGGTGGTGCGCCATGCAATGGCGGTCTTTTTCTTAGCGAAAGCAATACCATTATTTTCAAGTCAATAAAATAATTTTCAATTACTATTGGGAGTCAAGTCGTTAGTTTGTTTAGTATGTGGCGCCGTGTAATAAGCGGGATAATGTGCAGCGAGGAGGCCATAATTGAACAAATAACACCCGACAGGGTGATCATGGAGCCTGAGGCGAAGCGATCATGGAGCCCTCACATAAGCTCCTGCTGAATGTGTTTAATGTGGGAAAGCTTTGATTTGACCAATATCTTTCTTTAAACCTTTTACATTTTACTTTTGTCTTTCCAATACCAATAATGTTAAATGAGCATTGGAAACAATTGTTTCCTCAGATGTTTTCAGAGTTCGGCTGTAGTTGGTCTAAAATGTGGGCCCCTCTCTGACAAAGGAGAGGGAGGTGTGACATGCTTACGTCAGGTCAGTTGATGTCTCGACGACTGGGTATCGCTCAAGATGAACGGAGAACACAGGAGACAGACATCAGACACCCCTTGCATGGCCACGTAGCACCCCCACGCAGGCTCCGATCCAGAGCCAGTTTTGTGCAGACAGTCCTGCCCCTCCAGACAACCAAACAAGCAGCAAGGACCAACATCTGGGAAGATGAATGGCAAAGACATGACACACGAGCTCTTGAATGGCTGGACAGAGGAATCACACCAACGGAAAGCCTTGCTAGTGGCCACGACCTTGGCTGGACAACCTGGAAGTCACTTAATAGACTGCGTGTGGAACAGGGGAGGTGCAAAGCACTGATGAAAGTGTGGAACTACACCACAGAAGACACGTGCAGCTGTGGATCAGTGCAGACAATGTCCCACCTACTGGAATGTGCCGATGCCCCCCGGTGCAGTCCAGAAGACCTGGCAGAACCTACCCCATCAGCTGTGGCCTGTGCCCGATACTGGCAGAACGACATCTGAGATTGCTACGGACTCGAGGAAGAAGTTGATGTCTCACATCTCCCCGTCACAGGCATCCTCATTGTATAGTGAAACTTTCCTTTAGAGTCTGCCCTCATTGCTGATGTCAGTGATGTGGATTCAAGCCCAGAAGCCTATCCAGTGTTGGTCTTTGAGGGGGTCAGTGTTTCCCCTAGGATGGAGTCATAGCAGCGGTGCTAAGGCACGTGGGTCCAGCATAATGGGAGCGCGGAGCGTGTGGAATTTTTTAGTGTGTGCACGTGCGAAGTGTGCCCCGCCAATTAGTTTCTATGTGTCTGCCAGCACAAGAAAGGCTCTTGAGGCCTAGTTCTAGCCAATTTGCTGCCCCAGGCGAGATTTTATATATAAAGAATAAATGAAAAATCTCTACAAAAGACAAATACACTACAAAAACAGAAACTTATTGACATAGGTAATAGACGTCAAAATGGCTTCAAATGTATTCAGTATTGTATGAACATGTTTGAATTGGGGGGTGGACGTCACATCCTCTAGGGGGGTCCGGGGGTATGCTCAATCTGGTGCACTTTGAGCACACAATTACTAGAGACCTGATCTAGGAGGTACAACTCTAAAACACCCATATGAAAAAGATCGGTTTACATATTAATAATCAAATAAGTATGTGAACATAACCAATAACCTACCATAGCCAATAACAAATAAATGTAACTTATTTTATTTTTGTTATTCATTCATATCTTATTTCACCTTGTTAACATTTATTTATTTATGCATATTTTTGTATCTCTCCAACTTTACAAATATTTTTGGTTTACTGTCCTATAGTATACATTGGACTGATTTCAAACCTGTTTTTATTTATCCTAATAATTATAAAGGAGTGCCTTGGAAATATGTGTTTACATCATTTGTGGTCAAAACGTTTGAGACCCACTGAGATAACTTAGACTAAAATGACCTATCTAAACACTCTGTCACGATCTGTCTGTGGTGTGTTTTGTCATGTCTAGATCTGTCTTTGGTTTCCTGTTTTATTTTCAAAAGTGTCCCCCCCCCGCCGTCTTGCCTGTTGCTTCCTGCCTCTGTGTTCCCTCCTACCTGATTACCTGATTGTGTTCACCTTGTGCCCATGTGTTTTCTCCTCCCTCCTCACCTGTGTCTTGTTTGTGTGATTAGTGTTGTGTGCATTTAAGTTCTGTTTTTCTGTCTGTCGTTGTGAGATTGTTTGTTGTTGACTGTGTTCACGGGGGAGAGAGTTCTGCTCTGTATGTTCTTGTAGCCTTGAAATAAAGTTTTTTTCTGTTAAATCTGCATTTGGGTCCTGCCTGATTCGCTCAACCCTGACACACTCAGAGAGTCCTTTACCTCACTGAGCCTCTCAGTCTGACAGGAGAGCTCTCCTCCACCCTGGTTGTAGAAACATCTACTTCTTATATCTGTTAGCGCAGCTAGCACCAGATTCTAATAACAACAGCGCCGGTACCGGTGCGCCCTCTCTCTCTCTCCCTTGCTCGCTCTCTCGCTCCCACGCTCGCACTTTGGCTGTGAGCTGCGGGCGCCTGATAAGCAAACATCCCCCACTTTCATCACTTACAGCGCCCATCGTACAGGGCAAATGAAAAGTGTAACCGGGGTGAAAAGGGTGTTACATTTACTTAATTATGAATGTTGTTACATCAAGGCCGAAAATTAGGATGAGCGCCAACGGTCAAAAATGTTTTTGGCATGTTTTTTCCCCTCCCAGAGCTACCAGCGCATACTATTTATATATAGGGGAAACACTGGGGGTGACTAACACACAGATGAGGCATTTTTTGTCTCTTGGATAGAGAGAATAAGCAAAACGCATTAAATGTATATTTCTATTACAGTGAAACCCATCTAATATTTACATTTTAATACATATTTGTATACATATTATATTTGTATTTTTGTATTCGGGATTGTTGGAAACGTTATTTCGATCTCTCTGTGTACACACAAACTGAAAGATTGACATTAAAGTTGACTTTGAAATGTCCAATACCGCATCAATGACTGCATCAGCCTTTCCTCCATGTGACCTTTGCGCTTCCTTTTGGCAGGTTCTTCCTCAGATGATGGAGTTCTGCCACCAGATACTGAGGGACCCCTCGGCCGACCCCCGCAGGAAGGACGGGGCCCTGCACTGCATTGGAGCTCTGGCTGAGCTCTTACTGAAGGTCAGCCCTGCATCAGAGCCTTGCTAGTGATTAAAATGATCTTGTCACCGCTCGTGTGTTAATCTGTCTTGGATGTGCTGTATGTATGCTTCTCATCCTACAGAAGCGGGGGTACAAGGAGCAGATGGAGCTGATGCTGCAGAACTATGTCTTCCCTCTGCTCAACTCTCCTATGGGTTACCTTCGAGCCAGGGTGAGTGCCCCCCCCCCATCATTCCTTCACAGGGATTATATCTCTTTGTCCACGGTATACAAGAGAGAGACACCAGTTCTCTGGAGAATGCTTTTAACCTGGATAGTTTATATACAGAACATACAAGCACTGGGTGATTAGGTACTGTAACCAGACCATAGATCATATTCTCTGACTCTTAAGCTCTGCTCTTACACTACAACTGACACATCTGTTTAATGTTTGAACTGTAGCTGACACTACAAACCCTCTCAGTGCTGCCACTTACAATTGGTTTGTTTGATCTTCTTTGGTGTTAATGGTGTGCGCCTCTTAACTATTGGAATCATATTTGAAGACTGTTTGTTGCACTAATGTTTGCTCCTTTGCTGTGTCCTGCCAGTCGTGCTGGGTGCTTCACTCCTTCAGCCCTTTGCGTTTTCACGATGAGCTCGTACTGAGGAACGCTGTGGAATTGGTCAAACAGGATCTGATCGAGGACAAAGAGATGCCTGTCAAGGTTGAAGCCGCCATTGCTCTGCAGACCCTGGTCAGCAACCAGGAACAAGGTCATTGGAGGCATATACTTTTTTGTTTAACTAACATCAACCACCTTACCACTTCAATCAGCTTTTACTGCTCTAAGATTCTATAAAGAAAAAAAGGTCAAGTAATTGAAAGGATGAAGCAAACTACTGGATAAATATGGCTAATACAAAAAAGTGCATGTGACAAAGAGAGATCAGTCAATCTGAGTCAGGAAGTGGTTAGCCTTCTATATCATAAAGGCAAAAAGCAAGGGGAGGGTCAACATACAGTATATATATAGCTGCATTGCATCGCTTAAAGGGCCTGTATATGTTATAATGTATATATATATAGATAGATATATAGATAGATCTATATCTTAAGCAGGGATTAAATCCAATGTCCAGAGAGGAAGATCGTGTTTGTTTATACTCTTTTCAACAAAAATGAAGCACAATGAACAGCAGCTTTTACCTCCTCTCTTGCCCTGGTAAAAAAAACACAAGCCTTCCCACTGCTCAATCCCACCTTCATCTGTGTATACCATTACATATCAAATGACCCTGTGCCTGGACTTGATCACATAGAAAAGCCATGTGTACGGCCCCTTGTGAACCACAAATAATATTTTTCCTCTGAAACAAAGTCCGGGGTTGTTCTGGTGCGCTCCGGCAGCACTGCACATGGAAGTCCGTAGCAGCGGAGTCACAACACAATAATCTGCACTCATAATATTATCAGAGAGGTCTTTACTTGTCGAGTAAGCACTACATGTTTGTATTAGTCCTGTCGTCCTCTGTCAGTGTGCAACATAAATGATGATGTTTAAAGGGAAAAAAACATAAATGTATGGCTGCTGGTTCTGTGATTGTCCTGAACAGATGGCCAGTCCGTCCCTGCCTTAAGTACTTGAAGTTTGATTTCAATAATTATGTTTACTTCTATTACTTCTACTATTTTTTCAAAATAATAATAAGCATAACTATCCTATGAGTTTAAGAGGTCCTCTTGCAACCACATGCTTTGTGTTTGTGTGCAGCCAAGATCTACATCAGAGCCCACATCAGGCCCGTCATGCAGGAGCTGCTGCACGTGGTCAAAGAGACGGAGAATGACGACCTGACCAATGTCATTCAGAAGATGATCTGCGAGTACAACCAGGAGGTGGCTGCCATTGCTGTGGACATGACACAGAACCTGGTAGGGACACACAATCACAAACACATTTCTTATCATTTTACCAAGGACAAATTCATAAAGGTACTTTATATCTAATTTCGAGCATATCTATTATTGAGGTATGCCTCTACATGTCTCTTATGAGATGGATGAGTCGGCACATAGCACACACTGCTAACAATGGAACCCAACAGAACTGTTTCATGCAGGCACTGCGCCCACTCTGCTGGCAGCAAGAAGAATGAAACTGGTCTCAAACGAGGGGGGAACCAGAGGGGTGGCATTCCCTCAACGCTGCATAGATAGTAGTATTACAATAGTCTTCATTTTGATCCCTGAAACTTTTGGATGCATGGTGATTGTACCATGGATGTATAAAGAACTGGATTCAGTGTTGCAGACACTATGAGAGTTGCTCTGTGGTGCATGAAGCCAAAACAGCCTGACTCTTAAGAACACAACCTCCCTCCTTTTCCCTGGATCTTCCACATCCATGAGGCTCATAGATAGAGCATGCGCAATCATCTTTACCCTCATGCCCGCCCCCAATCGGCACCGTCATGTCCCGTATCGGCTCAGTTCAATAAAGGGATAACAACTGGACTCTGCTTTTTGTGCATGTTGCTACCATATTGCCACTACGAAAATTGGATTCAATGCCTGGCTCCCTTTCTGGGGGCTTGGTCTCTTTATCTGCATCCGTTACAGCTAAAGACATATTGTGAGGTGGATCTGCAGTGTGTGTAACTACTGTGTGTGCATGTGTATGTTTGGCAGGCAGATATTTTCACCAGAGTCCTACAAAGTGAGGAGTATGAGGAGAACGAGGACAAGACCGTCATGGCGTTGGGCATCCTCAGCACCATCGACACAATCCTCACCGTCATGGAGGACCACAAGGAGGTCTCACATGCACACACACATAGAAACTTGAACTGTTTTGCTCTTGTATGTGATATTTGATACCTTTTTTATATATTTTTCTTCTCAGATCACTCAGCAGCTGGAGGGGATCTGTTTGCAGGTGATCGGTCTGGTCTTGCAAAAGCCCATCATAGGTATGGCAGGTGTGTTTGCACAGGCGCCTCGGTGTTACATAAACGTACTCATTCCTACAAACATACTCTCAATCAGGGTTCTGGCTGTTCCTTCTTGGCGTTCTGCTGCCCCCATGGCAACCTGGCATTGAAACGTTTGTTCTTGTGTCCTTTCCTCCAAAGCGCCATTGTCCATTTATAAAAGTAATGTTCCCCAACTGATCTCCTTCACAACATAGTTCACAGAGAAATAGTGTTGTGATTCTTTTTTTAAATTTCAAAACTTTATACTCCAATACATGTCTAAGATCTGTCTGTTGGTTCAGATTTCATATAAATAAATAATGAGTCTGATAAATAAATGTATGATAAATAAATGTATTGTTTGATTCTGAAACCGTAGGCTTATACAGCGATCAGCCATGACATTATGACCACTGACGGGTGAAGTGAAGAGCATAGATCTCGTTTCAATGGCACCTGTCAGTGGGTGGGATATGTTAGGCTAGGTCCTCAAAGTTGATGTGTTGGAAGCAGGAAAAATTGAAAAGCATTAGGATGTGAGCGACTTTGACAAAGGCCAAATTGTGATGGCTAGACGACTCGGTCAGAGCATCTCCAAAACTGCAGCTCTTGTGGGGTGTTCAGTACCTACCAAAAGAGGTCCAAGGAAGGTAAACTGGTGAACTGACGACAGGGTCATGGGTGTGGAGAGCAGAGGCTGGCCTGTGTGGTCCGATCCAACAGAAGACCTACTGTTGCTCAATTTACTGAAACACTTAATGCTGGTTCTGTTAGAAAGGTGTCAGAAAATACAGAGCAGTTTGTTGTATATTGGGCTGCGTAGCTGCAGACCTGTCAGGGGCCATGCTGACCTCTTCATGGAGACTGCATTCCCTAATGGCAGTGGCCTCTTTCAGCAGGATAATGCGTCCTGCCACACTGCAAAAATGGTTTGAGGAACACAACGACGATTTCAAGGTGTTAACTTGGCCTCCACATTCCCCAGATCTCAATGCATTCGAGCATCTGTGGGGTGTGTTGGATAAACAAGTCCGACCCATGGAGGCCCCACCTCGCAACTTTCAGGACTTAAAGGACCTGCTGCTAACGTCTTGGTGCCAGACACCACAGCACACCTTCAGAGGTCTAGTGGAGTCCATGCCTCCACGGGTCAGGGCTGTTCTGGACCCAAAAGGGGGTCCTACACAATAATAGGCAGGTGGTCATAATGTAATGGCTGATCGGTGTATGTTGTTGTTATTGAGTACGTCTGAGGTCATTCCATGGCTAAATTAATTTATTATAAATAAGCACTTTACTCTTAACCATGCCTCCCATAAGCAAGACACCACCATGCTTTTCACACATTTCCCACAAGTGAACATCTCATTGTGGTTTTCAAACACGTTCCAGCTTCAGCTGTGTGTACGGCTCCATGTTCATGTCACTCAGGACACGTTGAGCACATATACAAACACCTATCATTACACTTACAGATCCCCACTCCAGGGGAAGTTATACAGTCTCTGTTGTGAATTAGTATACATACATGAGAGAGAGAGAGAGTGATTAACAGTATCCCTGAACTGTGCAGAGTTCTACGAGGAGATCTTGTCCCTGGCGTTCGGCCTCACCTGTCAGAGCGTCTCCCCTCAGATGTGGCAGCTACTTGGCGTACTGTATGAGGTGTTCCAGCACGACTGCTTTGACTACTTCACAGGTATGTGAACACTTCAACGCTTTCAGTAGAAGATGCCATCCTTTGGTTGGTGTTAATGTATGGTACAAATAGGACTAGGTTTACTGTTGTGCTGCTTTTTGCATTCTCATGTTAGTAACCACTTTGTTTTCATCTGAGTTTTTTAAATATTTTTTGGGAAAATATCTTTACTATAAATTGTGCATAAATGATGTATCATCCAATATACTCAAGTTTTACATTTGTATCCGTTCTTTATGAAAAATGTAATTATACTTTGAAACAACTTTCCCCCAGAGATCTTGAATATGCACACAGGTCCATATAGTATGAAAAAGACGACCCACTTCTGTAATGCACGTCATACATAAAGCTGATTTCTTTGGGTCCATCTTATTCCTGAGTTGAGGCGATATCTGAAGACGTTGTAACACCCTACGTTGTAGTTGCTTTGCTCTATTACATATAGATATGTTATTTACATTCTCCCAAATATTTGTCCTTGTAAATTCATTTCCTCTGAGTTTCAAAGTGTTATAAAAAAATGAAACCGTAATACTTAATCCACGTTTTAAAATAAATGTTGCTGTTTGTCGATGCATCAACCCTAAAGTAATGGTGGTAATGTTAAAGGTGCTCTGTGTTTTTGTTACAGATATGATGCCTCTTTTGCACAACTATGTTACCGTGGATACAGATATGCTCCTGTCGAACCCTAAGCACTTGGAAGTCATCTACAGCATGTGCAAAAAGGTCAGGCTATAACTGTCCTTACCTGCTGTTCACTAGTCCATATAATGTGAACATGATCCTGTGTTATTCTTACTCTGCCATTGTCATATTATAGGTGTTAACCATAGATGCAGGGGAGGATGCAGAGTGTCACGCTGCCAAACTGTTGGAGGTCATCATCCTGCAGTGCAGAGGAAGAGGCATTGACCAGGTCTGACTGAGCACAATACATTCCTTTTAAATCACTCGCCAAACATTTGGTTTTACAAACAACTATGGTACATTCAATACAGTAGGTGTACTGGAACCAGTTTAACCTACATGCAGGACTGTTTTTACAGTCTATCATCATACTTTTCAACAAATATTCCTGCACGCAACACTTATTGAACAAAAACATGTTCCATCCTACAATTACCATGTTAAAGCAGTGGTTCAACATTTTGGGAAATGTCCTTACTTGTTATCCTTCAGAGAGTAAGATAATAAAATGAGACTGTTGCTTACCAGCTGTGTTAGCCTTAAATTGTAGAATACAAGTACTCCTTATGGATTGACCCACCAAAGATTTATCTGTAGAGTAACCCCTCCCTCATTCCTCTGTTTTCCCTGCTTGCAGTGCATCCCTCTGTTTGTGGAGGTAGTTCTGGAACGTTTGATGCGGGGGGTGAAGTCCAGTGAGCTGAGGACCATGTGCCTGCAGGTAGCCATTGCTGCTCTGTACTATAACCCAGCTCTGCTCATCCACACTCTGGACAATATGCACTTCCAGCACAACCCCCAGCCCATTACTGCCCACTTCATCAACCAGTGGATGAACGACACAGAGTTCTTTCTGGGGTGAGTGGGAGGTTTCTGTTGTTGGCAAATGGACACGTTAGAATAATTTCAGGTAAAAAATACCCCAGAGAACTTCCTGGTTGAGTGATAAGCAGTGAGGACACACTCACTGGTTGCTCCAGCAGATCTTTTGCTTAAAATTCCATTTTTAAGTGTAAGCTAAGACATTTTCTAACTGTATTTTAAGCAACTGTAGAAACTAAGGCTGAGAGAAACCTGTCAAAAGTTTGACCTGAGCAGCGAAGTAGTCACGAATGAAGCCTTGTGCTCAATTTCTAAAGGAAACACCAGAGCTCTCTGGTACAGTGGACAACAGAGACATACTGTTTGTGATGGCAGCGCTCCATTCTGCAGTTTTCATCACGGTCACGGTTATGAAGACTGTGAGGCTGACCATTGAGCGGCCCGACCAAGCAAGGAGGCAGAGGCAGAACGTCCAAATACAACCCGGTGTGGGCATTTATTACTCATTGTGGTACATGACACAGCCTCAATATTACTGTCTCACGTGAACACAGTCACCAGCAACAAGGATCTCCCACACACACACACTAACAGGAAAACAGAACCTAAATACACACAGGACTAATCAAACCAACAAGACACAGGTGAGGAGGGAGGAGAGAACACAGGGGCACCAGGTGAACACAATCGGGTAATCAGGCAGAAGGGAACACTTTTCAAACTAAAACAGGAAACCGAGACAGACAAACTAAAACATAGACAGATCGTGACAAATAGATGCATAAATTACATATATTCACATGCTTCCTGTGCAATGTTTTAGCGTGGAACAAATGAATATGCTTCGCCAATAGTCAAGCTATATCCTACGTAACGGAGACCGAGATCTACGGCCCCAGAGATCACCTCCGTTACAAAGGCATTATACAAAAGGAGATGTTCATTAAGGATTTGACATTCCAAGGTCAACAGATCTTCGGTGGACAGTTTTCACCTCAGCCAGAAGTTGGACTTCACACTACGGGTCAGAGGGTTTCTTTGTGGATCCAGGGGAGGCTTGTTGGTATACAGAGCGCCATTCGTACTCCAGATATGAAATAAAGGAGGCTCACAGTGCTGGAGTCTAAGATCATTTGAAACTTTAAACTTACACTGTTTTGTTTTTTTGTTGAACTTTTTATTTATTTTTCATACATAACATCAATAGAACATACATGGATATGCTTACATAACTGCGGCTGTTCTACATCAGGGTTAATCATCCATGCCCTCCTTGGGCACCAAAAGGACATACAGTTTCTTGATATCAATTTCCATATTGTGCAAACATTATCAACATATTACAGACATTATCACTCCACCTCATCGGCAACATGATCGCACAATACCTGAACCATTATGATAGTAAGAGCCAGTGCTTTACCATCCAGATGAAACAAGTACAAGTGCAGTAAAAAGAAAAAAATAAATAAAGAGGGGCTGCTACTGTAGAGTTCTGGTGTTGCTTGTATTAGGGACCATCTTTCTTTGAATGTATCCGTTTTCAGCTGTAGTCTTACTGTGATTTTCTCCATTAAAGTGGACCTATCATGATATATTTGAATAATATAGTGTAGGACCATGCCTATATAAGGCATACTTTTTTTTTTCAAAATACCAAACAGATCATGCATTTTAGCCATGCCTCATTTTGCTCAATTTGACAATTTCTAGCTCTGTTTTTGCAAGGGCTGATTCTGTGAGAACAGCACCACCTACTGGCCTGGCATATGTACTACAGCGTCTCCAGCGCTTTCGAACGGCAATGGCCGTGGCTGTCTCCTCCTGATTGGTCTCCCTTGAAAAAGAGATCGTTGATCTCAATGGGATTTTTTAACCTGGTTAAATAAAGGCTACAAACAAACAATTGGTGGAGTTGGCCCAATAGCCGTAGCGCCACTGTCCTGACGTCAGGACAGTGTTCAAATCTGGATCAGTTTTTATCAGATCCGTTGCAGCCCCTTTTTTAGAGATTTGGGTATGGAGGAAAATAGAGAGGGTTGTGTTTTCTGACACTTGGTGAGTTCCCTGGAACACCGGGGACACATATTCATGTATAAAAGACGTGCATTTTGCATGATAGGTCCCCTTTAAATAAACATTTTTTACCCTGTTTCTCCAATGGACTATGCTGGGGGGCTGCGGCTTCAGCCACGAGACCGTTATAATTTTTTGCGCAATTGGAAGAAGAATTGTTAGTAAGAAAGCTACATTTCTGTCCATTTCACTGGGCAGTATACACAGTATATAAAGTGCTGGGTCCAAAGTAAAGGTAATGCCCAGCACCCGTTTCATCTCCTTTTGAACATCCTTCCAGAAGCCCTGAATGTTTGGACAGTCCCAAAATATATGTGTGAAGTCTCCCACCCGTCCACAGCCCCTCCAGCACAAATTAGAGGTATTGCTATATTTTGAAATGATAGATAGGGTGTTAAAATATCTCATTTTCACCTTCCAATCAAATTCCCTCCATGTTGGACCGTTTGTTATTGTATGTCCCACCTTGAATGTTTCTTCCCAATCCTCGTCACATATTATAATATTCGCTTCTAACTCCCATTTTTCTTTGACATCCTTATTGTTGCTGTTACATTCATAATGTAGTTCCTTGTAAAGTTTTGATATAGCCCCTTTTTTTGTCTCGTCCCCTGTATATGTCATTAACTGGTCCGGACAACATAGAACCTTTCTTTTTAAAGATAGCTGCAGATTTTATTGCACCACCTCTCACTTCTCTTCTTAACCTCTCCCTCAGCACAAACACAATTCCAAAAATGTGGAAGTCAGCGTATGTCCTGCCTTTACTAAAAGGAGGGCAGGCCACTTTATTAAATAATTATAGGCCCATCTCTAAATTATCAGTTCTGGCCAAGGTTCTTGAAAGCCTAGTGAGTGAACAGGTAAAGGTGTTTTTATGTAAAAATGACCTACTATGTAAACATCAGTCAGGTTTCAGAAAGCAACATAGCACCATCACTGCGACAATGAAAGTGGTGAATGATATTGCTAATATCTTAGACAAAAAGCAGAGTTGTGCAGCTCTATTTATTGATCTTTCCAAAGCGTTCGATACCGTCGATCATCAAATCCTAAAGCAGAGGCTACTCAGTATTGGCATATCCAGCCATGCAGTGGGGTGGTTTGTGAACTACCTCTCTGAAAGGTCCCACATGTGTTCACTTTGATGGGCTGTCTTCTGAGTGGTTAAACATTGCTAATGGTGTTCCTCAAGGTTCTGTTTTAGGTCCACTTTTGTTCTCCATATATATCAACAGTTTAGGTGAAAATGTGGATGAAGCTACTTTACATTTTTATGCGGATGATACCGTGATGTATTGTGCAGGTCCCTCCATTAAGGAGGCTGGTGTTAAATTACAGGCTGTTTTTAATATTATTCAGACTCAGCTCTCTGAGCTTAAGCTTATTTTAAACGTTGATAAAACCAAGGTAATGCTATTTTCAAAAGCCAAAAAGACACCGGAGACTGCTTTGGATATTGTTACTGCGCAAGGAAAAGTACTTGAAGTGGTTACCTGTTATAAATACCTAGGTATCTGGCTTGATGATTGTCTTACTTTTAAACTTCAGGTCAATAACCTGCTTAAAAAGCTGAGGATTAGACTAGGTTTCTTTTTCAGGAACAAGTCCTGTTTCTCACTTGAGGCCAGGAAAAGGCTAGTCTCTGTGACCTTTTGACCTGTGCTGGACTATGGGGATCTGATCTATATGAATGCACCTGCACCTGATCAAGTTAGATGCCGCCTATCACAGTGCGCTGAGATTTGTTACTAACTGTAAAGTACTTACTCATCACTGTACCCTGTATGCCAGGGCAGGTCTGCCATCACTTACTGTTCGGAGGCTCAGTCATTGGTACATGTTCATCTATAAAGCCATGCTGGGTAAACTACCATCTTATAACTGCTCTCTGATCTCACAGAGAGTGGCAGGTAGCTATTGCCTAAGATCCCAGGATGTGTTTTTATTACATGTGCCAGGTGCTAGGACTGTTTTAGGTACAAAAGCTTTTATGTGTGCAGCTCCTCTAGCTTGGAACACTATGCCATTTTTTTTTTTTAAACTGAGCATTTTGGTTCCCCTGCATCATTTTAAAGCTCGGATAGATGAAATGTTATTTGATACCTGTCATTGTGAATAGGTTGTAATTTGTACCCCTGTAATTATGTTGTATGATGTCCTTTTTGTTTTCTGTTACATGTGTAACCAATGTGCTGCAGGTCTCCCTTGAAAAAGAGATCGTTGATCTCAATGGGATTTTACCTGGTTAAATAAAGGCTACAAACAAACAGTTCCTCTAGTTTAGATGGGGCTTTGCGAATGTTTCCCCATTCCCTATGCTTCTGAAGCTAATGTCTCAGTTGCAGGAATCTATAAAAGTCACAGGATGGTAGGTTAAATTCCTGTTTCAGTTGTTCAAATAATTTAATGGTTTGTCCAGTAAAGAGTTGTGTCATATATATGAACCCCTTATTTCCCCATCAAATCAAGGTTTATTTATAAAGCACATTTAAAAGCGATTTTAGGTCGAGCCAAAGTGCTGTACATGTAATAAGAACACATTACTACAATCACAATAAAAGACAATAAATTACAACATATATATAAAAATCACAGGGAAAAGTCAGGAGTCGTGCTCCGCTCTGACTAGAAGGCCAGAGAGAAGAAGTGTGTTTTTAGTATAGATTTAAAAACCCCTAGGGTCTGGGCCGACCTCATATGGAGGGGCAGAGTGTTCCAGAGCCTAGGGCCAGCTGCTGCGAAGGCTCGGTGCCCTCGGGTTTTTAGCCTGGTCTTGGGCACTACCAGCAGCAGCTGGTCAGCAGACCTTAAAGCTCTGGCTGGGGTGTAGCGCTGGAGGAGTTCAGCCGGAGCCAGCCCATTTAGTGCTTTAAAAACAAATAAAAGGATTTTAAAATCAATTCTGAACCGAACTGGAAGCCAGTGTAATGAGGCCAGAATTGGGATGATGTGGTCAC